GAGGCAGTAACTTTACGATTCCAAGCTGGCACACTAGACAAATTAGCTTATTTTCAAGCGACAGGTGAAAGACTCCTGACGCACCGCACAACTCGTTTGCAGGTTAGAAAATACTTGTTGTTTGAATGCTGAAAGAAATGATAGCTTGTAGAAGGCGAAATGAGTTAAAATGCATTGTTGATGCACGACAAATGAAGTTCAATGCGACAAATGAAGTTCAATGCACTACTAAATACCACCATTGTATTTGTAATGTTCGTATAAGTGGATATATGGCGTTCACAAGATATTCAAGGAAGGTCGTGCATCTTTCAAATAATCATCATTTGCACAATTCATCATGTTTGAATATTGCATAAACACCTTCAATATGCAAATATGTAAAACATACACACACGTTGCAATTTGTAGGGTATGTAAGCATATCATTCAATATCCAAATATGCCGCGCCGTGGCTGCACGTTATATTGACACAAGATCATATTGTGCATATACAATCTATTACATACAAAATGCACTATGCAAGCGCACTATCCAACATTTAAATGCATTGTGTAGCAGTAGCACGCTACCCCGACATCCAAATACTTTATGCACTACATGAAAACACTAGAGTATCATTTAGATGCTTTATGCAGACAAATAAGTAGTACACAAATACGCTATACATGCATTTCATGCAAATATACCATGCGCTATGTTATTACATTAAACCACTACATTGCATATCAAACACACCTTGCAAGATGCAAATATATATGCCAACATACATGCATACATGAAAATACATGAATATCTACTTAAATATGTTAACATGTAGATGAAAATATGTGCGTATGTGGAGATACTGATGAGTCGTACATACCTGATGTATTGCAGACATAGAATCTCTACACAAATATATTATGCAAAATATTTGGAAAGGCATACACCCGCATGGGCCTCCGCGAGCGTGACGTATGTACATATATGACATTTAAATGTGCTGCGTGGGTTAAAGATATGAACTTGAGTTCAAGTCCACTCTTTCTCTTTGAAAGGACCGAAGTGCATATAAGGAGAACCAAATTCCTATGGTCATGTCTCATGAAATATTGTTTACTTTTCATTGCTAATTTATTTTGTTTTTTGTTATTTTTTTTAATTTCAAAAAAATAAACGTGTGATATTTTATGTAAAAAATAACCACAATTATTTATTTTATGGGGTTATGAAATAAGAACTATCATTTATGCTAGTATTTTCGAAAATGACAGTCCAACAAACAATATTTAAATATATTTCATGTATTTAAATCAATTTAAATTTGATATATTATTCATAATAAAATGTTATATGCATATTAGTATAATTTTATAGCAATTATATTAATTACATTTCTAGTATAATATGAGATAATCACATTTTACTAGCCGGAATGATGAAAAGAATGGATAACATTTATTAAATTTCTGGCTTAATGGGTATTCGAGTCGGGTTTGAGTCGAGCCTGGGTCCAATTCAGTTAACCTGAACCCAACCCATTTTTGTAAATGGGTCAAAAATTTAGATCCGTACCCGACCCGTCGAGTTATTGGGTTGACTTGACCCGTTAACCCATAATACGGCCACGTTCGAGCGCGTTCGGGTCCGACCGCGTACTGGTGAATGATCTAAGAAGGCGAGTATGTAGGCAAGCGTGGCCTGCACGGATGTTGGCGTTGGAGCAAGCAAGGGTGCAGACGCTTGAGCGAGCACGGTGCCAGGTGCGGATGCAAGCATGAAAAGTGGTGCTAGGTGCGGATGCGAGCGTGGGAGGGCTCACTGTGAAGTGCGGGTGCGAGGGTGGTTTAGCGGGAGCGCTGCATGCAGGCGGAGCGTGAGATTGAGTTAGTTCAGGGGTGACCCGTGTCATTTTCGGGTTGATTTTGAGTTTTCGAGTCAACCAGAATACTTTTCAATTTTAAAACTGGTCAGCAAACGAAAATTGAATCTAACTCATCTAACAAATGGGTTGACTCGAACTCAGAATTTTTTGCATTTGGTCTTGGTCGATTTTCGGGTTTTTTGTCAAGTTAAGCATTGACACCCCTACACACATACATGGCATGATAGGGACATGGGACATAATTAATGAAAATATAGGACTTGGGCACACATTGGACATGATATTATATTTTAAATATTTTAAAAATAAAAAATAATGCATATATATTAAATGAAATAAATTGAATAAACTTATGGGTTATAGTAGGGCTCATTATATTTTGTTGCGCATTACATGATACACATAAGGATATATACAAATAGCACAACTTAAAACAAATGATAGACAAAATCATAGTATGAAAATTAAAATGGTATATTATTTGAATTTCTTTTTAATTATTGTGAGGTTCGAAAATTCGGCCCCGGCCTCCGCCCGCTGATGCTTTTCTTCGGCGAGGTGAGTTTTAACAGAATAAGTTCTGGGTAATTTTGGAAGGCAGATGAGTTTGTAGATAAGACACTACCCAGAGATTTCGTCCTCATTTTGTGAGGACTTTATGATCTAAGTTCTAGTTTCTTATAAGCGTAAGCTCTTGTAGTTAATTACCCCTCCCAATAATGTGGGAGAACTTTCGATTAAGGCTAGTTGTCAATCAGATACATAGTATCTAGCATATAGTAGCAGCAATTGTATCAGGATGTTGGAGAATTTTTAGGTTTGATATTTAAAATAGAAATTTTCACCATGTAGCACTTAAAGTGGATGGTGGAGGAATGGATGATGGACCCGATCAAGATCCCATGAAATTGAAGAGTTATGATTTTCCGAAAATTTAGGACTTAAGTAAATCCAAAAATTAAGATTAATTTATTAAGTGTCGTAAGAAATAGTTAAGGGGAAAACGATGGGTTTAAGCTTAGGACTTAGATTCAGCCTTAATAAAGATTTAATTGTGTGACACATCTCTTTTGTTAATTTTTTTTTAGGTTGTGATCGTTTAGGTGAAGAGCTGTGTCGAATCAACATTTTGAGGAAGTACTATGCTTAAGAGAGGTAGGTACTTGTATTTAAATCAAATTCACGTCTTTAAATTTTCTAATTTTTTTTTATGTTAAATAAAACATGTTTAGTTTATAAATGTTCTATTTCATGCAATTATCACATGTTTGAGTTTTATTTATATTATTATGCAAGAAAGATTTTATATTGGCTTATTGTCTCATAAGTGAAATTTTTAGATAGACATGAGAACAATTATGCATGAAAAAAGTTAATCGAATATATGAATTTCTGAATTATTTTAGCCTTATGAGATCTATTATGATTGCTTGTACATGTTGATCCTGAAGTGCCAAAATGGTAATGGGGTTCTACGGAGCCAAAAGGTAAAGGAGCTTGCAAAAGCCAAATGGTAATGGAGTTCTTTAGAGCCAAATGATAAAGAAAATAGTCAAAAGGCGGTGTACCTGATTTGTACAAACACTGGTACTTTCGGGACGGGTGTATAATTTATGATTAAGTATTTTATGCATACAAATGAAAGATTATGATGAAAAGAAAAGTTGATGAAATGAAAGGTTTATGAAGAATGAAAATGTTTAAGGAAATATTTAAAGAAACTCTTGTATGAAAATGTTATCCAGTTTATGCATATAAATGTTTGATTTTAGTTTCTAAAAGTATTATAAATAAAAATTTTATGATAAATGATTTGTTTTTAGTTTATGTAATTGTGGATTTATATGTTTTAGCAACTGTGAGAAGAAACATATTAGAATACTTTCAATTTGAAGTTGTTAGTGGCTCTTTCTTATTATGACATTGATGTTATTTTTGTCCTGTTATATGAGTAAATGAGAAAATTATGTTTTATATGTCCTTTCCATACAACCGACTGTTCCCGCTCCATTATTTTCGGTCTAGCCGGGCCGGGTCGTTACAGTCAGAGGAGGTAGTTGACCCAACCTGACAGAAGGATCCTTATCGGCAGCCATGGGTTGCTTCGTCTAAGGGGACCTTTTAGACCTGTGGTGGGTATTTATCTAAGGGGACAAATTTGAATCCACCTTAGCTAACAGAGTGCTTTGTGCCATATCGATCATATCATATTGATTCATATCTCAAGGATTTGATGCCATTAAGGAGCGTATTGACTCTGGTCATAACCGGTATTTCGTGGTGCCATTTGAATGCAAAACCACTTCGTTCAAAGAGCCCCGAGTTATAACCGTTTATCCTGTGGTGCTATTTGATGACAAAATCGCCGGTTAGAGGACTCGTACCACGTCCTTACTAGTAGGAGATTGTTTGAAAATGGATCCTAGTGATATTTTTGACTAGGCATTTGGTTCTTTGTGAGCTGAAGTAAATTTTAATTTGTCTATCTCGGCAAACTGTTGCAGAGAGTGAATGGATTTTACTTTAAGCACTGAATGATTTATTTTCACATTTAAATATCTTTGGATTTTGATCATTTTTTGGACTTTTGGGCATTTGAGTGGCATTTGAAGTATTTGGAATTAACCATTCCGGTTGAGATCTTTGTTCAACACGGTCATCATCGGGGTGTGAGGGGCCATTTTCATTTGTTAATTGAACCCTGTCTACTCTATCGAGCTGTCGACAAAAGATCGGGTTTTGTAGGCTTTATGCCTTTATTAGTGAATTTTCATTATTATAGACCTTGAAGGTCTAATATGAATGTATTAAGGCAAATATACCGTTTGCCACCACCGTATATTTGTTTGATGATTCGAACCCTGTCGACTCCTATCGATCTGGATAGAAGGATCAGGTTCGGACTTGAATTCACTTATCGACTCGCGCAGCATCCCTAGATGTCACGTGTGTACCAATAACACGTTCGCTAGGGCCCATGCAGGTGTTTGGATGCATTTTATAATTATTTGTTGAACATTGTCGACTCTTATTTACTTTCTTAGGAGGATCGGGTTCAAATTTATTGACCCGTGCAACATCCCTTGGCGTCACGTGTGTATCAATAATTTGCTCGCCAGGACCCATACAGGTAATGATTTTATTTACCCCTTTAGTGTATCTATGTGTATACAAATTACGATGCACGTATAGGGGTATTTTGAAATATTTGTAAATGCATTCTGTCCGCTTGCATGAATGTTATGGATCTGGTGTCATGTTATAGCAGCTTCTGGATTGAGTTGTTTGCTGCTTTGCACAGGTAGACTGTCGTGCACTAATCTCTTTCTGTAGGTGGATTATAGTGCACTAACTAATCTCCTGCTTTTGCAGAAGCTTGTAGGAACTTGCATTTGTTGTATTCTTTATGCATTTCGTTGATGTTTTGGTCTTTGCAATACATCCACTACTGTTGCAGGTAGATGTATTCATTCGTAGACTGAAATCGACTACAGGGTACTGCATTTATTGAAGTCTTTTTGCATCTACCCATAGGTGGCATGTTATACATACATTTGTATTCATAGAGAGATTGTATATATTGCAGATCTTCTTATCTGCTACGAGAAAGTATCTAATACGTATGGTGGACCTCTTGCAATAACTTGAGAGCACTTACATTTATTATATTTCTTTTACGCCTACCCTCAGACAACAAGTTGAATGTATAACGTGTTTTATAACACTGTTTATAACGTGTTTTATACCACTGTTTACATGTGTCTGTAGTTATCACTGCTCTTCTATAATCGTATATGACGAGTTTCTCACAGCAGCTCGTAGGCACTTTGGATTTGTTGCATGTTCTTCTACATAGCATCTTTGATGTGCATTTGCATTCGTAAGAAACTTGTATGTATTGCGTACTTTCTATCTTTGTCTGCGGAGGTTTTGTGTATTTGCTTATACCCTTTTTAATTCTTGTAGCAACTCCCACTTGTATCTTTAGTATACTACAAGCTTCTATCAGTGCTTGCAAATAAATGTATTTTCCTGTATTTTGACATTGAATGCAAGGTATCATTGCACTCTTCACCGACCTCATACAAACTAATTAGTGGACTATTATATCATTTGTACATTGACTAGCAAATTGCTATGTTCACTTGCGCCTTGGCTTTCGGCGTACATTGGAGACTGGTATCCTTGTTTGCAGGATTCATGTGAACATTGCACATCAGATGCATCGTTTGTAAGCGATATATTTGCTAAAGATTTTTGCTCCTTCAACTGCGATCAAATTATATATCTCTTTTTATTTTTATTGCTTGTGAAATTTGGATGCTGACGAGTTGTTGTATTCTCTTGTCACCCTTCACAGAAAACTTATTAATGTTTTGTGTATCCACTAGCATATCTTTCTTCTCTGGTTGCAAATGACATGTTAAATGTGAAATGAGTCTCTTGTAGTGCCCCGTACACACTTGTGTTTGTTGTACCTTGATTGATTATGTCGACTTGCATAAACTGTGGGAGGATCACACTACAACTTGCACTCGTTCGTGAATTGCTGGAATTGTCCAAATGCTGTTTCGTTGAACCAAAGTCTGGTTTTAAGTGTTCCATTCAAAATTTAAATCTTTAAATCATCATATATCATTTGCACTTGTTTGCATGTTGGTGTTTGTTGCATTCCTTATACATCCTTGTGGCTAATGCATTTGTCCCAAATCAACTGATTGCATGAGTTTCATAATCACTTATGAGAGAATGATATTTGCAGGTTCTTTATTTATCATAAGTTTTGCATGTGTTTTCTTGCACTTAATTTAAACCTCTTAGTTCAACAATCATGATTTCATTCAAAACATTATACCATACTTCTCTATGCTTAGTTCACGTGATCCATTGTGCTTGACTCAAATCAAGTCCAAATATGGTTTGTTATGTCATATTCAAGTCCAAATTCAAGTAGTCTCGTTCAATTCAAGCTCATCTTGATCAAGTTTGATTTAAGTTTTATTTTGTGCTCAAGTTATACTTAAATTAAGTTCAAAAATCTTTGTCCAAGTCCTCGGTTTACTGAAAATTTCGGCAGCCTCCTGGCGTCTCCCCTATTTAGGGGAAAACTATGGAAAACTAGGCCTTCCCACAACGCTAAGAAAAGCGGGTATGGTAGGTGTCCTCGGTCGAGAACACCACGCCCGTATTTTATTCTCCCCCCACCACGCTAAGAGAAGCATGTATGAGTTTTCGGTACCTGTTGCAAAAGAAAAGCAATTGTTTTTCCACAAACGGGTGCTTATTGGTATCCCCACTTCGTCGTATACGTCGCACCGGGTTAACATCCCACCACGCTAAGAAAAGCATGTATAGGCGGTTTTCCGGTGCGCCATGAACGTCGAAGAAGGGATTTAGGTGATTACCTGATTCGTCGAGAGCACCGCGACGAACTTCCTCCCACCACACTAAGAAAAGCGTGTATAGGTGGTCATTTTATCGCGTTGCACATGTCAAAATTGAGCTCTTGGAGTTTTAGTGCTGAGGGGTTATACCTTTGCATGGGAACGCCGGTGGAGTTGGCACGAAAATCAAGACAAACACATTTTTTTCTCTCTTTTTTTTAGCCGACCAATCGAATAAGAAGTAGAAATCAAAGCTTCTCAATTTCCTCACTTGAACAAACTTCTTCAATCGCTTCTCAACTTTCTCAAACTCTTTTCTCTGTATTATTTTTGCTAATAATAAATAATATTAATAGTTGGGAAATTTGGGGAAGTGAAGGTGATCTCTTTGTCAAAAAGAGTGATACAGATGTTTGGCTATAGAATAATAAAGAAAGGAGTTGGCTGGAGGTTTTGATGCCTTGATTTATAGTGAGCTAAAAGTGCAAGCAAGAGGATATATAGTCTGATTTGAGAAGTGTACTTCCTTGGCATTCTTATCTACAGCTCTTCCATCTCTTTGTCTTCTCTTGCTTGATTTGCATATTTTTTTTGCTCCAGATTTATAAAAGAGGCAATGATTTTTATATCAAGAGATCCTTTTCTTTTGTTCTGATTGACAAGCAAGAGCTTGCGTATCCGTTCCTGGTATCCTCAGACAAGCAACCAATTTGGTCTTCTTGTCAATGCATCTGCTAGATGGGTCACATCCTGCTGCTTGAGGGTCGATAGTATGTGGCTTCATTTCATTTGATCCCTCATCCAAAGTTTCCTTGCTGATAATAAATAATATTAATAGTAGGGAAATTTGGGGAAGTGAAGGTGATCTCTTTGTCAAAAAGAGTGATACAGATGTTTGGCTATAGAATAATAAAGAAAGGAGTTCGCTGGAGGATTTGATGCCTTGATTTATAGTGAGCTAAAAGTGCAAGCAAGAGGATATATAGTCTGATTTGAGAAGTGTACTTCCTTGGCATTCTTATCTACAGCTCTTCCATCTCTTTGTCTTCTCTTGCTTGATTTGCATATTTTTTTGCTCCAGATTTATGAAAGAGGCAATGATTTTTATATCAAGAGATCCTTTTCTTTTGTTCTGATTGACAAGCAAGAGCTTGCGTATCCGTTCCTGGTATCCTCAGACAAGCAACCAATTTGGTCTTCTTGTCAATGCATCTGCTAGATGGGTCACATCCTGCTGCTTGAGGGTCGATAGTATGTGGCTTCATTTCATTTGATCCCTCATCCAAAGTTTCCTTGCTGAGGTCACCAGATGCTTCACGGTTTCAACAGGAGCTATGATGATTGGGCCCTCCTCAATAATCTTTCGATGCCTTTGCTGAACACTGCAATCACTACTATGAAGAGCAGCAATGTTACCTTGCAGATCACACAGTAACTGAACTTCCAAATGTCGGTTCTGAGATGCCACCCTCATAATGAATATAGGAGAGCCTGGGAACATCACCCTGTACTTGCTTGAATAGAGCTCTAACTTCTTCATGATTACGAACTTGTTTGATTTTCAGACCAGAAGTTTCACATCCAATTCCTGAAGCAAGCTACATTACTTATAATGCCTAGCTACTTCTCATTCCCTCTAAACATGCTGGATTAAGTCCCACGCAAGCATCAGAATCAAACTAATTACCCATCGAACTTGACTTTGTTCCCATGTCTTCTCTGCCAGCCAAAGAAGAAAGCTACTAGCGGCTCAACCATGAACTCCGTCACGTGATCTCCATCCTCACTGGACTGGATAGACTGACGGTGCTGATGATGTCATAGGGATCATTACACTTGCTGGGTAAAATAAAAGAGCATCGATGAAAGTGGAAGGCCCGGGAGCTTCCATTGAGCAGACCACTGCTGCCGTGAAACCCAATGGCGGCGAGGGAAGGATTGGAGAGATAGCAACTGCTGGGGTCTGCTCGTGGAAAGGTTGAAATCTGGACTTGGTGAAGACCGATCTGGCTTTATGTGAAGAATTGGGAGTATCTTTTTGAAGTTGGATGGGGATCTGAGGTGTCAGGACGGCAAGAGTGAAGGCAGGTTGCCGAATCAGGATTGGAGGGAAGGCATGCATTTGATGGGTAGAGGCCACGGGACTCGAGGAGGAAACCAAAGCAGCGGGCTTTTTGAGCAGAAAATGAAACGAGCAATTTCTTTCTGTTTTGTTTTAAAATGATAACGACGAGTTGCTGGATTGACTCCTCGGCTGAATTTGCGGGATTTAGTTTGAAATCAGCGGATATTACGGGATTTCTAATGGGGATTTCGATTCAAACGAGGTTTGGAATTAATGGGATTTTGATGTTTCAATTGACTTATTCCTTTTTTTGTTGAATCGATAGGTAATGCTAAGAATGGTTTGAAATTATTAGTAATAGCATTAATCAAGGATGACAGTAATGCTTCAGTCAGCAAAACAATCATGATTTACGCAATTTCCTCAAAATCCACACATTTACCTCATTTCGCGTGTTGACTGTCTCGTTTAACATATCAATTTCGTCGACTATTGAAATTGGATGAATTGATTGTGCATTTAGGGTATTGTCGATGTTCCGATCGTAATTATGTAGTCCATTTCGAGATCGGATGCCGTTTGGACAACGTCGAGGCCCTTTCCCTTGAAATTTGCTCTTTGCCTCGGGATGCGTGTTGACCTCCTCGCATATTTTAATTTGCACAATTTTTCTATCATTCTTAAGTATTTGGGATGTTTTGAACGCAGCGGCGAATTCTGTTTCGCAATCGAACTTCATTTGGGCAGTGCCGAGGACTATTCTCTTCGATATATGTGTTTTATCTCGAAATTCGTATCACCAATCCATGTGCTTCAAATTGAACATAGAAAGTGTAGTTCTTGGGTATTTGAATTATTATAGGAAACACTTGTAGATCTCAAGTAGTTCCTATCACTCTTCGGAAAACAACGAGAATTCTTCACAAAGCTCCACACAAAAATCCCAAAACAGTAGATATTGGTATTATTTGATGAAGGGAAAACAAAAAATCGCAAGATACAATTGATCCTCAATTCGAGAGGAGGATCGATCTCTCCCAAAATTCTAGACGCCGCTAGAGCCCAAAGGAAACCTAAAACTAAGAGATCTCAAATTTCAGATGCCCCAACCCTAGGAAAACAATCTATTTAATGCATACAAATCAATAGGAATTCCCTAAACAGTCCCTACATTCAAATTTCTCTCTTAGCAAATCCCTAAGCAATCCCTACATTCCAATTTCCCTCTGACCCCCCGCGAAAATCCTTCCTAAAATGCTTTGTTTGAGCGGTTCGGCCGCCCGATCTCTGCAGGAGGTGGAGATCCCACCTGTTTGCGAAATGACGATCCCATGCGGACCGGCTTGACCGGTCTAACAATACTCCCCTCCAAAAAATCCACCTTGTGCTCAAGGTGGAGATATACTTGTGTTCCTGTGGAGGTGGCCATCTTTGATGTGGCTGAAAATCCTTACCAAATTGCTCTCAAGGGTTGCACTGAAAGAGAAACATTTCCTTCGTCCTCCATCCTGAACACATCCAGCTTGTGTGGTCCCACCAGATAATCTCCCCCCACCTCTTGTATGTCCCTAACCATGGTCTTAAGTGATGTCATGGCTTTGGATAGCCCTGCATCTCCGCTTATAACCACCTTTCTCCCATCCACCATTAATTCCATCATGAGTGCTCCCCAATTGTCCTTGGTTTTCCCCAAGGTTTGCAACCATTTCATCCTCAGGATGACATCAGTGCTTCCTAACTCTAGTAGGAGAAAGTCCTCCCTTGAATCTCCTGGATGGTCAACACCATATATTTACAGATTCCCTGACTTTTCTCCACCTTTCATGTACCCATCATCACCCCATAACAATTGGTGTCCACCAATTTCACTCTTAGTTGGTTGATGACCTGAGTGGAAATGAAATTGTGGGTAGCCCCACTATCAATTAGCACCACCACCTCACGGTCAGCTATCCCTCCTTTCACTTTCATAGTGTGACTCATAGTGAATCCCACTACAGAGTTCAGAGAGACTTTTGCCACATCCAGGTGCAGCTTCTCCTCCTCTTCAGATCTGCTCCCACCTCCCTCCTCATCTTCCTCATCTTCACAGACAAGGAGAACCCGAAGAGTTCGGTCCTTACACCTATGCCCAAGCATCTACTTGTCATCACATCTGAAGCACAACCCATTTGCCCTCTTGTCCTGCATCTCTTTCTCTATCAGCTTTTTGAATTGTCCCCCATTTCCCCCTCCAATTTTCTCCATTGGCGCTTCCTTCAGACTCCCTGGTGCCGCCCCTTGTTATTGGTAAGAATGTGGTAGTCATCTTGTATGATCCCCCTAAATAGTTCCCTCGAGCTCCCCTTTCTGATTTCTTTTGATCTTCCACCAACTGCGCCAACTCCATAGCTTTCCCTAGGTTCCTCGGCTCCAGCACCTTGACTGTTGTTCGTATCTCCGGTTTTAGCCCCTTCATGAAGTTCCATATTTGGGCTGACTCTGAAATGTGATCCAATCTGCTAGCTAGGTACTCGAACTTGTCTCGGTAGTTTTCCACAATCCCCTCTTGAGGCAAAGCAAAGAATTGCTCATTGAAGTCTCCTTCCCCATCAGCTCGAAAACGCTCCAATAAGCAATCTTTGAACTCTCTCCAGCTCCGTATGGGCTCCCTCCTGTCACGCCACTGATACCAGGCCAAGGTTTTCCTTCCAAACACAATCCAGCTGCCGTCAGCTTCTCTTCCTCTGTCAACACATTGACAGCGAAGTAACGCTGCACCTTGTAGATCCAGCCATGTCCGTCTTCACCCTCAAAGACGGGCATCTTCAGCTTCCTCACCCGTGGGTCTCCCCCGTGTCCCCTGAATCCTCCATAGCCTACTATTCCTCGTAGATGAGGTGCTCCCCAACTGTCACGATCTTCCCTCCGGCGATTATACCTGAACCCTTCATCATATTCCCCTCTTTTCCCTTCAAACTCAGCACCTCGGCGGTGGAATTCTTCTCCTCCCGATGAAATCAGCACCCCTCCGGTCATTTCCCAAACTCATCTCTTCTCTTGAAAGGGGCTCTAGAGGTAGCATGTCGTCCTCCCCCTTAATGACCTCCAATTCCAAATTTCTCCTACCCCTAAACGGGTTTGGATTTCCTCCTACACCATGGCCTCCGGTGGTCTTTCTTGCTTCCGATGTCGTAGGATTTGTCTTCAACTCCAACAGTTTCTTCAACATTTCTTCCATCACAGTGAATTTCCCTTCTATCCTGTTATTGTTAGAGGTGATTTGAGTTTGAAAGTTAAAGAACTTTCCCTCCATATCTGATTTTAGTTGACCGATCTCACCTTCCAAGACTTCTACCTTCTTCCCAGCCATCTCTCTTCCCAAGAATTACGAAGATCTTCCGGAAAGCAAAAAATTCGCTGAAATTTCAGGATTTCAGCCGCCAACGGTCCCAAAACGATGCTCTGATACCAATTTGATAGGAAACACTTGTAGATCCCAAGTATTTCCTATCAATCTTCGGAAAAAGCGAGAATTCTTCACAAAGCTCCGCACAAAAATCCCAAAACAGTAGATAATTGGTATTATTTGATGAAGGGAAAACAGAAAATCGCAAGATACAATTGATCCTCAATTCGAGAGGAGGATCAATATCTCCCAAATCTCTAGACGCCGCTAGAGCTCAAAGGAAAACTAAAAGTAAGAGATCTGAAATTTTAGCCAAATTCTAGATGCCCTAACCCTATGAAAAGAAACAATTTAATGCATACAAATCAAAAGGAATTCCCTAAACAGTCCCTACATTCAAATTTCTCTCTTAATCCCCCAAAAAATCCTTCCTAAAATGCTCTGTTTGAGCGGTCGGGCCACCGGATCTCCGTAGGAGTCAGAGATCCCGCCTATTTGCAAAATGCCGGTCCAGTGCGGATTGGCTGGACCGATCTAACACAATATTCCGATTGCAATGGAGAAATCTGTTTCGCAAATGGACATCATTTGGACAACGACGAGTTTGATTTTCCTCGAAATTTATGTTGTTTCCTCGGGATCCGTTCCACCAATCTGAATGCTTTGAATTGAATAAATAAAATATAGTTTGTATAGGTTAACGACGTTCCGGACACAACGACGAAGTCTATTAGTCGATACAACATTGTTTGATCAGCCTTGTGCTTTAATTTCGGGTGTCATCATCCCTTTTGATCGATCTCATCCGGTTCGATTGCGAGGGGCCTCGACCCAGCAGAATTCAGTGTCCTGATCGCAACGATTCCATCCGTTTGGCATTTGGAGGTCATTTGACCCCTTAAGTGATGCGTTTCTTCATTGCACGCATTGCCTAAATCATTGTTTTCGCCTCTTTTCGCATGGTTTTATGTGTATGGGTCAACAATGATGATGTTTTGTTCTATAATAAACTTTTAGAGTTATATTTGAAAGCTGTTTATTTATAGGATTCATCTTCATTGCATTCATTTATTAGTATTTATTTGGAGGACTCGGGCTTCAGCATCGAAAGAAAAGGATGCCAATTATAATCTTTGGCATCGAGAGGGGATAACATGTCAGTTGTCGAGTCAAGTTTTGGTGCTTAAAGGGTAGAGGAAGTTGGTAGACGAGCATGAAAGAGTTGAGCTTTGGAAGTCAACATTGGATGCTTAGATCTTGCAATGTCGTCCCAAACCCGAGTTGGCTTGCGAGAATGGAAAATTTTGGATGAGAAGATTTTAATGAGAAGTGCTAGAGAGAGAAATGAAAAAAAAAGGTTTTAATTAAAAAAAAAAATAAGTTTTAATGACAGGACTATCGGTCACGCCTGTTTGATTTTATTATTATTATTTTGTTTGGACACATGATAGTTATATCTGATATGTGTTGGATGCATGTTGGACACTCCCCTTTAATATGAAGTGTTAGTACATCATGGGAAAATTGAAAATAAAAACATGATGAAATAGTTCCGGTCATACAGTAGATACTTCATGAATTGTTCTCTCAGATGTAGCTTAAATCATGGTTTATAATTATATAATTGGTTGGATAGAAGACCGTGTATGCATGATAAAAACTCATTTATGCATGCACATTCTTATAGAACACTATTAGTCAATCGATTTATTCATTGGCTGTCACCAGCCGAATGCGAATAGAGGCGGTCATTGGTCAATGCCCGAAGAAATCATGGGCAATGATGCTTGTAGGTTGCATGCATGTTCACAAACATACAACTATCACTGAATTCCAGTGCTGGCCTTTTCCAAATGCCTGTGGCACCTTTATTTGATGCCTACGGCGGATGATATTTATAGTCAAATATATTTGATTTATTCATTTTGTGAAAAATTAAGCAAAATTAAACTGCAAAAACAATTTGTTTAGTAATCTTAACTGAATAATGAGGAAACGATTTTAACCTATCAAATCAAGTTACTTTGGTTGTTTGATTGATTAATGTGGTTAAAACTATAAATGCAATTCAGTTGTTTAAAACTCCTGTGATTCTTTTTATTTTGATCAATTTACGTGGGCTTTCAGGTAAATGCAAATGGGTGATGTGATGATTTATTCCTGTCATGTCTCTGACGTTTCTTGTATTTATAGTTTCTAAAGCATTGAGAATAAATGAGGATGACCTCCTTCAGCAGATACTTATGCGCTCAAGATGTCACAAAGGTCGTTTGTTATATTACTTTGCCAAACAGCAAAGGTAAGTACTTCTTTGGGTGTCAGCGTTTTTGTATTTATTTCTCTGTAATAAGGAGGCTTGAAGCCCTTTCATCATAAAGACATTTCCCAATGTCAGTTTTGGTTGACTTTTGCTTGGTTTCTAGTTTAATACATACGTTGGTCATGTGTCTCATAGGTAGATGGAGTATTCGTAACTGTATTTAAATAATCTTGGCTACAAATCAATTTTATGTCTTTCAATAATCTTTTGATGTGATATTCACCTGTGGATTTATTGCTTTGAACTTGCAGTGAAAGTATGAAAGATACTGGTGTTTCGTCTTGGTGCGGTTGGCATACTGATCATGGATCTCTCACAGGTTACTCAGTAGTCTATATCAATGCCAAATAAGGATCTGATTTACTTAAAATGTCTATTATACCAACATGGCTGAGTTACTTGAGCATTATGATAAACTTGTGGAATTCTAATGGACTTGTTTCTTTAACATGCTTTGATGTTGGGACGTCTAAATGTGATTATGTATATTGTTCTGAAGACTGCTGCATTGCTACTTCGGGAATATTTAATATTTGTTAAGAGTCCTATATGCAATTTTGATAACTAATTCAATCGATCCTTTATTGATAAATTTCATCCAAAACACTGCCCTCGCTACTCTTTAAGTTCAACAGCAGTCCCTCTGATGGAATCTACAAGTTTATTTGCATATAAAACAGCATGCAAATAAATGATCCGAACAAGTTTACTTAGTTTTATTATTTGGTAGCTTTTTTGTGATTTTTTTAATTTCAAATAATCTAGGACATGCTTATGATGATGCGCCTATGAGAGAGGAATGTGCTCTATTTAGTTATGATGCTTAGTCAGGCTAACCTCTGTATAGTTTAATTTAAATATGTTTAATCTGTTGACAAGTGATATGGATTAATTGAATTCGGAGTATGTTAGTGGAGCTTTCTAATTATCCTATTGTTGGTTTTTTGATTCCACACTACTTGGTTGATTCCCATTGCTCTTATGCTTTGGTTTCAGTAGTTTGACTAAGTTGTAGCTTGTGGCCTACGGCTTTTGCAATGCTATTGACTACTATGGTGGACTTATACTAGTGACCATTATCACACGCCACACCAACCCATTTCTTATCAATCGATACGGGACACAATAGAGGAATTCAATAATTGATATAATATTTATATCTCACATAAGACTCTTGTTGGAGAATTTTTTGTTGTCCTCAAATTGATTGCATATTTTATGATTGAGTACGGTATAAGAATAATGATATATTATCCCAGAGGATAAAAATATTATTTTCTTATGGACTCAATGATAAAATTTACAATTTTGAACAGAGATTGCCTCATTCAATGTTTGGTTGAATGGGGTTTATTTTCTAAGGTACAAATGTCCCATAGGGGCAAGCCCTTATGGTTAATTACATTTCAATCTTTGATGTTTGGGAAAATTTTTTATTAAACTAGTGATTTTCCTGTTTTTTGGAAGTCATTTAAATATTGGCTAAAACTGATTTTTTTTTTTTTAGAATTCATGAAAGTCTTATTAAAAAATTTTGGTCTTTAGGAATTTGAAGGGCTGAAAGGATAAACTTAGAATCAGATTTCTTGGAATAAGGGCCAAAGGAAAGAGGTGTAGGAGTATTTGATTCTGAGTGGAACTCAAAGGTACTCAAACTATCCTATATTGGACTTTACATTTTATAAATCTAATTTTTGTTTAAGTTGATATTTTCATTAGAAGGTTGGGGCTTACATTCCAATAATACATGTTGGAGGAATTGCCCGAAAGGTGAGGACTTATATGGTAATTGGATTCGGCCATTTGTCTCGGATCCTAAATCTAAGGTGAAGACTACCGAGAAGTAGTGCCTCGAACCTAAGTCTAACGGAATGCAAAAAGGACATAAGCTAAACCTCACATGAGGCTTAGCCAGCCCAATTCTACTAGAGCCAGCTCATTAATGAGCCTCTTCTTATTATTCAGCTCATAAATTGTGTATTTATTACCAAAATTAGATTCATTCCCCCTCCTTTACTCCCCCCTTTAAAGGAATTTTTATTGGGTCAGGTTACCTGACGCTGCTCTACATTCGGTATGGCCTAATCAAGAGCCACGTAGCAGCCCAATAACCCGGAATGACCCGATGGAAACCCATATTCTTTTGCACGTTTTTTAAAATATTTCGGGCATGCTTGTCGCATTGTATATGAATTGGGCGCAAAAAGTAAAAAATATGCGGTTTTTACCACAAGTATAATAAGCTTTTGGGTATTAAACCTAAGATGTTATACAGTCTTTAGGGTTCATATACCACAGTAAAAGAAATCGTGAAGTGTTCGAGGAGATGGAAGGTACGAATGTAGTTTTGGCTTTGGAAGACTTAGAAGATTTCGTCGAAACTCCGACGTTGAATGTTGATGAAGAGTTTTCTGATTTAATACAAGTAATTCCTTATCTATAATGTTTGATTTATTTTTTTAAAATTTTTTGCTGCCTCATTACGGATAGAACTTGGTATCAACGTATATGAAGATTATGTAAAATTCTATACCGACCAGAATCATAAGTTTCGATTAGATTCACTCGGTACAGTTTGACATAACTCGGTACTTATCGGTACTAGACATTGTTGCTCTGTATGAACTATTTGCACAAAATACTTATGAAGTATTACCGAGCAAATACAAGATATTACTTCCTAGTATCGATCATTCAACCTGGTCGGTATAAGCTCGGTACTGATTTGTATACATCGGTATAAACTCCTAGTACATTTGTAAGGAGAAAATACAACTTATTACTTCCTAGTACCGATCATTCAACCTGCTCGGTATTAGCTCGATACTGATTTGTACAGCTCGGTATAAACTCAGTGTACATTTGTACCGAGCAAATACAACTTATTACTTCCTAGTACCCATGCTTATACTTACTCGGTATAAGCTCGGTATCGATATGTAGATATAATGCTAAACTGGATGTATGAATCTTTTTTCACAGGGTGTTTACAACTCTGAAAAGAAAGCATATGAAAAATATTGACATTACCTGCATTCACATGGATTTAGTGTTCGGAAAGATCATCACCATTTTTGGCCAAATTCAAGGAAAATAAAATCAAAAGATTTTGTGTTCCAAAGCAAGATTCAAGAAGGAGACTGAGATGGGTACAAAGGTTAAATATCGAAAATCATGTACAAGAACAGGATGTCCAGCCATGGTTAGATTTTTGGTGAGTCAAGATGGGATTTGGGCAGTGAATAAAGCTATAGAGAGTCACAATTTAGGAGCATTAGTGATGAGAATGCATATGTTCTGAAATCTATGTCAGAAGCAGGGATAAGAACTATTGATACATTTACATACCTATCTGATGAAGTGGGAGGTGTTGGTAATCTGGGGTTCACCTAGCAGAATGTATACAACTACATCCAAAAAGAAATAAGAGCCTAGATTGAGACTGGAGACACTAATTCACTAATCAAATTATTTAAAGAACGGGTAATTGATGACAACATGTTTGCTTGGGATGTGCAAACTGATGAAGACGATTATTTGTTGAATTTCTTCTGGGTTGATAATCTTGGTAGAATTAATTATGACTGTTTTAGGGACGTGATTATTTTCGATACAAATTATTGTTTAAATAAATATAACTTAGCCTGTGCCCTTATTGTCGAAGTGAATAATCACTGAAAAAAAATTTTATATATATTTTATTTAAACGATAATTCATTCCGACAATAGGGGCACAGGCTAAGTTAGATTTATTTACGATAACTTGTATCAAAAATAATCATGTTCCTAAAACAGTCATAATCAATTCTACCAAGACTATCAACCTAGAAGAAATTCAACAAATAATCGTCTTCATCAGTTTGCACATCCCAAGCAAACATGTTGTCATCAATTGCTCGTTCCTTAAACAATTTGATTAGTGAATTAGTGTCTCCAGTCTCAATCTTGGCTCTTCTTTCTTTTTGGATGTAGTTGTATACATTCTGCTTGGTGAACCCCAGATTACCAACACCTCCCACTTCATCAGATAGGTATGTAAATGTATCAATAGTTCTTATCCCTGCTTCTGACATAGATTTCAGAACATATGCATTCTCATCACTAATGCTCCTAAATTGTGACTCTCTATAGCTTTATTCACTGCCCAAATCCCATCTTGACTCACCAAAAATCTAACCATGGCTGGACATCCTGTTCTTGTACATGATTTTCGATATTTAACCTTTGTACCCATCTCAGTCTCCTTCTTGAATCCTGCTTTGGAACACAAAATCTTTTGATTTTATTTTCCTTGAATTTGGTTAGAAATGTTGATGATCTTTCCGAACACTAAATTCATGTGAATGCGCGTAATTGTAATATTTTTCATATGCTTCCTTTTAGAGTTGTAAACACCATGTGAAAAAAGATTCATACATCCAGTTTAGCATTATATCTACATATCGATACCGAGCTTATACTGAGCAAGTATAAGCATCGGTACTAGGAAGTAATAAGTTGTATTTGCTCGGTACAAATGTACATTGAGTTTATACCGAGCTGTACAAATCAGTACCGAGCTAATACCGAGCAGGTTGAATGATCGTACTAGTAAGTAATAAATTGTATTTGCTCGGTACAAATGTATTAGGAGTTTATACCGATGTATACAAATCAGTACTGAGCTTATACCGATCTGGTTGAATGATCGGTACTAAGAAGTAATATCTTGTATTTGCTCGATAATATTTCATAAGTATTTTGTACAAATAGTTCATACCGAGCAACAATGTCTAGTACCGATCAGTACCGAGTTATGTCAAACTGTACCGAGTGAATTTAATCGAAACTTGTGATTCTGCTCGGTACAGGGTTTTACATAATCTTCATATACGTTGATACAAAGTTCTATCCATTATAAAGCAGCAAAAAATTTTAAAAAAATAAATCAAACATTATAGTTATGGAATTACTTGTATTAAATCAGAAAATTCTTCATCAACATTCAACGTCGAAGTTTCGTCGAAATCTTCGAAGTCTTCCAAAGCCAAAACTATATTCGTATCTTCCATCTCCTCGAACACTTTACGATTTCTTTTACTGCAGTATATGAACCTTAAAGTCTGTATAACATCTTAGGTTTTAATACCCAAAAGCTTATTATAGTTGTGGTAAAAACCGCATATTTTTTTACTTTTCGCACCCAATTCATATACAATGCGACGGGTATACCCGAAATATTTTAAAAAACGTGCAAAAGAATATGGGTTGCCATCGGGTCATTCCGGGTTATTGGGCTGCTACGTGGCACTTGATTAGGCCATACCGAACGTAGAGCAG